GCCAAACCCACCCTTGTGCTAATGTGAGAACATGCAGTATCCAAGATGGCCACTGGGAAGTCGTCAAATTGCACCTCTGATTGGTTTTGAATCCCAGCTCTTCTACTTGATAGTGTAGCATCTTTGTGCCTCTGCTTCCCCAAATGTAAAATGATGATAAGAGTATCTATTCTCATATTGCTTCATGATTAAATTTAAAGTGTTCAGAATAATAGTTTAAATTAATATACAGGCTGATAAATGTCATCCAAAACCCTTGGATGTAAGATGTTTTGGGCAGTACCACATAATCAAATAATCAATATATATATATTTTTTTTTAGATTTAAAAAATATAGTTTATTTCAAAGTAATTTAGAGAGAGAAAGAGAAGGGAGAGAGAAGCTTCACCTCCTAAAGGTGGGGAAGGGGACCAAAGCCAGGAAGCATGGTGACAGCCATAGCTCAAAGAGCACATAGTCACACCAGAGTCTAGCAAGGCAATGGCCCAATCATCAATATTTCTGCAGGAAAACAAATTAATATTTACACTGAGTGATAAAGACTATAAATAGCTTCAGGTTTTTGGTGTTTTTTTTTTTTTTGAGTTGGAGTCTCACTCGGTCACCCAGAAGTACAGTGGGACGCTCACAGCTACCCAGCGTCGGCCCTGTTGGGCTGTGGCAATCCTTCCACCTCAGCCTTCCAAGTACCTGGAACTACATGTGTGCGTGCTAACACGCTCGGCTAATTTTTGATTTATACTAGAGACGAGTTCCCGCCAAGTTCCCTGGGCTGGTCTGGAACTCGCAGGTTCAGGCAATTCACTCACCTCAGCCTCTCAAAGTGATGGGATTACAGGTTGAGCCACGGAGGCCAGCCAATAGATTCAGTTTAAATGTAATTTAAACTGAAGCCTAATGAGTTGTGGCACCATTATGGAAAAACAAACAAACCCTGGCTTTCAGAGTGTTTTAGACTTCTGAATGGCAAATAAGGGACTGTGGGATTGGGTTGTTACTATTACTACTAGTATTAATCCTAGGTCTTTTACTAAGAGGACAAAGATCCCATGTGTGCCTTTGAGAAGCTCATGTTATGACTATTCATAGGATAAGCCTAACTGAAACAGATTAGCAGATAGGATTAGAAAGATCAAGACACATAGCCGGGCGTGGTAGTGCGCGCCTGTAGTTCCAGCTACTTGGAAGGCTGAGCGGAAGGATCATCAGAGCCCAGCAGGTCGAGGCTGCGGTGGCCGGGAGCGGCTACTGCACTCCCGTCTGGGCGACAGAGTGAGACTCCGACTCAAAAAAAAAAAAAAAAGAAAGATCAAGGCATTAGCAAGAATGATAGGAGACACAGCTGAGGACAAAAGATATCAATTTGGCCAAGGGCTAAATGGAATAAAGAAGACATAGATGGAAGAAATGCAGTGACAATCAGACAAATTTTTTTTTGAGTTGGAGTCTCACTCTGTTGTCCAGGCTGGAGTGCAGTGGAACACTTACGGCCACCGCAGCCCCAACTTGCTGTGCTCAGGTGAGCCTTCCACCTCAGTCTTCCAAGTAGCTGGAAGTACAGGCGTGCATCACCACACCCAGCTAACTTTATTTATTTTTTCTGGAGATGAGGTCTCACCATGTTACCCAGGCTGGTCTCGAACCCCTGGGCTCAGGCAATCCTCCTGTCTCTGCCTCCCAAAGTGCTGGGAATACAGGCGTGAGCCACTGCGCCTGGCAACAGACATCTTAAACTAGGATACCAAGGATACCAGTCTCTTCTCAGGGAACAACTGTTTTAATTGCCCCTGAGATTCCATCTCTTAAGAAGCACTTTCTCCCCAGCACTTTGGGAGGCCAAGGTGAGAGGATTGCCTGAGTCCGTGGGTTCGAGACCAGCCTGGGCAACATGGCAAGACCTCATCTCTACAATAAATAAGAAAATTAGCTGGGTGTGGTGGTGTGTGCCTGCAGTTCCAGCTACTTAGAAGACTGAGGCAGAAGGATCACCTGAGCCTAGCAGGTAGAGGCTGCAGTAGCTGTGAGCAGCATGCCACTGCACTCCAACCTGGGCGACAGGGTGAGACTCTGACTTAAAAAAAAAAAAAAAAGCACTTTCTCTTGACCCATGGAGAAAGGGGTCTGTTGAGGTCAGAAGGTGAAGAATGCTTCAGGACCATACTCTATCTTCTCTCTCACCAGTATCCAAAAAAAGCCTGCTTACACTTGGCTAGGATACACAACGAGAAATAAAAGTAATACTACTATAGATCCATTTCTCACCTTCTATGATATTAGGCCATTTTAGGATTCACTGCTTATGAAAAAACCCCTGACTTAGAGCTGATCTTGCTCTAGATTCTAGAAAGGACTTCCTCCTAGCTCTTCTCCTAACAATCTCAAAAAAATTCATCTACTTCCTCATCTCTGTACTCCTCCGAGAGGGCAAAAGGAACCTAGGAGAAAGGTACAAGTAAGTTTGCAAAACATAATTTGAATAAAATAATCTGTGCATTTATAATTTGTTTAAAGTAACTTTTTAAACTCTGACTGACAATTCATAGCTATTAAAATACAGACTTGAGCTGGGCTCGGTGGCTCAGCCTGTAATCTCGCGCCTTTGGGAGGCTGAGGGGAGTGGATTGCCTGAGCCCACGGGTTCGAGACCCGCCCAGGCAACTTGGTGAGACCTCATCTCTACAATAAATAAAAAATGAGCCGGGCGTGGTAGCACGCGCCTGTAGTTCCAGCTACTTGGAAAGCTGAGGCGGAAGGACCCGGAGCCCAGCAGGTCGAGGCTGCGGTGGCCAGGAGCGGCCACTGCACTCAGTCTGGGCAACAGCGTGAGACTCCAACTCAAAAATAAAATAAAATAAAATAAAATACAGACTTGCAGTGAGTCAACCAGGGCCTAAACAGGTAAACAGACCTATATTAGAATAAAAAGCCAATGGACAAGACTAGAAAAAACACTATGAAATCTTAACTTCTCATGGTCAAAACAAACACTAAAGTTGACCAATAAACAACTAAATTATATTTTCTCTATGAATAGTGTAGAAAAATGCTGTTACATGAAAACATTTATCTGGCCAGGCACAGGGACTTGTGCCTGTAATCCCAGCACCTTGGGAGGCCAATGTCAGAGGATTACCTGAACTCACGGATTAAAGACCAGCCTAGGCAACTTGGAAAGACCTTTTCTCTACAATACATTAAGAAATTAGCCGGGTGTGGTGGCATGCCTGTAGTTCCAGCTACTTGAAAGGCTAAGGCAGAAGGATCACCTGAGCCCAGCAGGAAGAGGCTGCAGTGGCCGTGAGAGTGCCACAGCATTCCAGCCTGAGTGAGACTCCAACTCAAAAACACAAACAAAAAAAAACTTTCAGTGCATAATCATTCAATCTTCAGACACTGTCATTTTAACTAAAAGCAAAGTTCAAAGTTGTTTTGTTAATCACTCTTTTAAAACAAAGATAAACTGCTTCTAACAGAACGAAAGACAATGGTTAACTGCCTCTGTCTAAACCTCATCTTTGACTGAATACATACAGTATTTGTCAACACCATGGAGTATGGTTTATCCAAAGATAAGTAAAGAATTTACACATTCACAATAAAGTCACCAAAAAGAGTGAATTTATTTGTCTCAAGCATAATCTCATGCATTATACAAACATGGTTTGAAGACCCTTCATTTCCTAGTCTACTGCAGACTTCAATGATCAGTCTTCTATGATCCTCCCTTTTTCATGTTTCAGATACAGTCAGTTGATTTAAAATAAATTCTGTTTGAATTGCATTTTCCTCTCCATTCTCACTGATAAAAATCTTAATCTCACAGGTTAGATTACACAAGGGTTTTTTTTTTTTTGTTGGAGTCTCACTCAGTCGCCCAGACAGGAGTGCAGTGGCCACTCCCGGCCACTGTAGCCTCACCCCACTGGGCTCCGGTGATCCTTCCGCCTCAGCCTTCTGAGTAGCCGAAATTACAGGCATGCGCTACCATGCCCAGCTGATATATTTTTTTATTATTGTAGAGATGAGGTCTCGCCAAGTTGCCCAGGCGGGTCTCGAACCCGCGGACTCAAGCAATCCATTCACCTCAGCCTCCCAAAGCGCGGACTACAGGCTGAGCCACTGAGTCTGGCTCCAGCTAATTTTTTGATTTACTGTAGAGATGAGGTTTCACCAAGTTGCCCAGGCGGGTCTTAAACCCGCGGGCTCAGGCAATCCATTCACCTCAGCCTCCCAAGGCACAGGACTACAGGCTGAGCCACCGAGCCTGGCTCCTATCAGCTCTTTAGCTTGGCATTCAAGTGCCTCTGCTACATACTTATATCTTATTTTCTACTTCTCCACTACATGAATCACGCAGCTCAGTTAAGTCAAACTCTTCCTTAATCTTTATTTTGAACCTTCCATAGGTAATGCCCTCGCTGCTCCTCCACGTTCATTCAAATTCTTCTAATCATTCAAAGTCTAACTCATGTCCTACCTTTCCTAAGATGTTTTCCAGCCAACCTTTATCAGTTCTGTACCCCTAGCCTTAGTCAATATCATATGACCTAAACATTTTATTTTTTGACATTCTTTCACATATATGTAAACACATAGTAAGTCTTTTGAAGACAGGATCCAAGTCCTTTACTCCCTTGACCATCCCTCATGTGTCTATCACAGAATATACTTTGTTCATACTCCTCGTCTGAAAGGAAAAAACACTAACTCTATCATGCTCTCTGTCATCTAGATATATATTTCCCAACCTTTCCATGCAATACGACAAATTGAAATTGAGACTTGTTTCCAGGATTGGTCAAATTAAGCCATGGTTTTCAGTGAACATGCTCTATTTGCATGAAATGTTAGATCTCCCTGAAGGAGAAATATCTTAAGTTTATCTAATAAAGTCCCTCATTTAGGCTTTGTCATACTTCTGACCTTATTTGGGAGAAGGAAGATAGGCCCCTACCACTCGTTTATTTATTTTTAAAAAGTCTTGATTTATCAACTCACCTATTACATGGGCATACACAAAGGCCACAGCACTTGTTGAGTTCTGTTAAAGTCTTCTCTGCCTCTCTCATGTCTTTATTTATTTGGTCCATGCCTTCTTCTATGCGGTTTAGTTGTTCTAAGAATAAGTTGTAGAAGTTATATTTTGTGTTCCATTCATAGTATCAACCAGAAAATGCCATTACTATGGGACAGTGAACTTCAACCTTGAATTTACCAATAACCCACCACAGTGAAGTATCAGAAGACATTAAAAGCTGTTCAACATGAAAACAATCTTTCACATACTGACACTGAGGCACCTGGCCTCTTATTGCAGAAAAATTTGTTCTAAGACAATCATACACTTGGAGCAAATGGGGCTTATTTATTTTGTTTTTGTTTTTTGTTTCACTCTGTCACCCAGGTTACTGGTCCCAGTCATTGCAGCGTTGACCTGCTGGTCTCAGGTGATCTTTCCGCCTAAGCCTTCCAAGTAGCTGGAATCACACGCATGGGCCACCACGCCCGAATGATTTTTAAATTTCATTGTAGAGATGAGATCTCGCCATGTTGCCAGGCTGGTCTGAAACCCTGGGGTTTAGGTAATCCTCTTCTCTGCCTCCCAAAGTGCTGGGATTACAGGCGTGAGCCACTGTACCTAGCTAAGTGAGGGTTATTTAAAGAACATCCCTAGCTGGCTTGGTGGCTCAGCCTGTAATCCCACGCCTTTGGGAGGCTGAGGTGAGTGAATTGCCTGAGCCCGCGGGTTCAAGACCCCCTGGGCAACTTGGTGAGACCTCATCTCTACAATAAATCAAAAATCAGCCGGGCATGGTAGCACACGCCTGTAGTTCCAGTTACTGGGAAGGCTGAGGTGGAAGGATCGCCAGAGCCCAGCAGGTCGAGGCTGAGGTGGCCGGGAGCGGCCACTGCACTCCAGTCTGGGTGACAGAGTGAGACTCCAACTCAAAAAATAAAAATAAAAAAAATAAAGAACATCGCTACAACCAAGTTAAGTGCACTCTGACCAGACCAAATCCTCATAATTTCTATTATTTAATAGGCTCAAAACCTGAGGGCTGTCAAAATACTAAAAAAACTAGACTAGATTATTCAGGGCCAACTCTAATAGAATGTTTCTAAGCTCATCCGAACCTAGATCTGTTTTAGGACTTAATTTCTGAGGATGATGAAAGAATATCATAATGCCTAATGTAGATATGACCAATGCACACAATAAACCACAATGGCCTAGCATATACTTGGTATACAGCTGGGCATTGTTGCCCCTCTCATAAATATGTAACAAACATGATATAATTCAAATCAGAAAAGAAGTAAACAAAACTCCTATCTTACAAAGGTTGAACCTTATATGTGGTTGGTTAATTTGACAGAGCCTTTTGGCATTGTTAAGTCAAATTAAGAGTTTCTGCCAGTGACTTTAACTCACCCCCTTGCTCATCCAGCATAGTGATGGTCTTGATTCCTGCATCCTGAGACTACAAGAAGGGGAGGGGGAAAGTCAATAGTACGACAAAACAAAGCAAAAACAAAATCTACAAGGACTGATAAGTAGCAAGACAGAAACATTAGAAACCAAGTTCTCAGCTGGGCTTGGTGGCTCAGTCTGTAATCCCACGCCTTGTGAGGCTGAGGTGAGTGGATTGCCTGAGCCCGCGGGTTCGAGACCCGCCTGGGCAACTTGATGAGTCCTCATCTCTACAATAAATCAAAAAATTAGCCGGGGGTGGTAGTGTGCCTGTAGTTCCAGTTACTTGGAAGGCTGAAGTGGAAGGACTGCCGGAGCCCCAGCAGGTCGAGGCTGCGCTGGCCGGGAACAGCCACTGCACTCCAGTCTGGGTGACAGAATGAGACTCCAACTCAAAAA